GGAATATATAGGAAAAATCTTTAAAAATCTTCTTCTCAAGAACCACTGGACCAGGAAAGATGAAACTCGTGTGGAATCATCTTCAGGTAGTGTAGGTTCAATTTTGTTCAAATCATGACCCCCGGGGGTAGGGTGGGGCCAAAATGGCCGATCAAAGTTTTACATAGGAATACATAGGAAAAATTTTCTTCTCAAGAACCATTGAGACAGGAAAGATAAAACTCATCTGGAACCATCTCCAGGTAGTGCAGATTCAATTTTGTTCAAATCATGACCCCCAGGGGTAAGGTGGGGCCAAAATGGCCGATCAAAGTTTAACATAGAAATATATAGGAAAAATCTTTAAAAATCTTCTTCTCAAGAACCACTGGACCAGGAAAGATGAAACTCGTGTGGAATCATCTTCAGGTAGTGTAAGTTCAATTTTGTTCAAATCATGACCCCCTTTAGGGTGGGAAAAAATAAAGTTTAACATAGAAATATATAGGAAAAATCTTTAAAAATCTTCTTCTCAAGAACCACTGGACCAGGAAAGATGAAACATGTGTGGAATCATTTCAGGTAGTGTAGGTTCAATTTTGTTCAAATCATGACCCCCGGGGGTAGGGTGGGGCCAAAATGGTCGATCAAAGTTTTACATAGGAATACACAGGAAAATTTTTTTTTCTCAAGAACCATTGAGACAGGAAAGATAAAACTCATCTGGAACCATCCCCAGTTAGTGCAGATTCAATTTTGTTCAAATCATGACCCCCAGGGGTAGGGCGGGGCCAAAATAGCCGATCAAAGTTTTACCAAGGAATAGCTAGAGAAACCTTTTAAAATCTTCTTTTCAAGTATACTTTAAAGCCATGCCTAGTGACATTTATAGGGAATCATCCTCAAGTAGTGTAGATTCAAGTTTGTTCAAATCATGACCCCCTAGAGGTTAAAATTCAAGCCCCCCCCCCCCCCCCTCAGTAAACTTTCAATTCTGATCTGATGTCTGATTTTTTCCTAGCTAATTGCTCATGTGAGCGATGTGGCCCCTGGGCCTCTTGTTATTAAATGTGTAACTTGGTTATGGCATTCTATGTCATTTTATGATAAAATTGGAAAGATGCATGTCCAACAAAAAATCACTGAATTGACCAAAATAAAGAAACCAATTAACATGTTGAAGCTTTAGTTAATGATTGTTGATGGAAAATTCTCTGTCTCAAAAAAACTTTTAGAAGTCCTGTGCCAAAGCTACAACTTAATATAGCAAAAAATTTTATTGAAATATTTTGGAATACTTTGCATAGAGAGTGTGATCCAGTACCATCAACTTCATTGCTAAAAATGTTTAAAATTTGATTTAAAAAAAAAAAACGAGATTAAACAATTCAAATCCACTCCATAATAAAAAGTATATTAAAATGTTATTGTGGTATGTGTGCATTTATATATTAATTTATTTGGCAAAATGTTAATCATTTAAGGCATCGGAACAGAAATGTCTCCACCCTGTTTTAAATCTCAAAAAGTAACTAAATGCCAATATCATTAGTTCCTAATTCTAAGAGAGATAAATATTTAAATATTGCCTGATTTGTGTGGATTTCTTTTGTGCAGTGATCATATAGAGTGTGTAATTGAAGTTGGCGCAGCATTAACCCTGTAGGGCTGATATTTACATGGTCTGTTTACCTGGCCTTTGTGTTGGCAGTCCGCTACCTGTCGTACAATAGATCCACTATCTAGCAAGCTAGTTCATGAGCCATCAGACCTGATAAATTTTTTTTTCCTAAGTGGATCAACATTTTTTTGACCTGACTTGTTATAGCAAATAGAAAAAGGGTGACTTCAAAACAGCCACAGACCCAAATTTTTTATTTGCAAAGTAGGAGTTCAGAGTTCAAAGGTAAAGAAAGGTTAAAAAAATCTTTCTAAAGCCATACATATTTATGAGTCTAGGCTGTCACAACAAAGCATTATTGATTTGAAATAGTTAGGCTGGCATTGTCATCGCTCACTTAAGTTTGTGTAGCAAAGGTATTGATACTTGGTACACAGGTGATTATGTTAGAACGAGGAGGAGGTGAAATCTATGCCAACAATCACGACATGCCGATTGCTAGCTCAAATGCCGTGAGTATCGTCAGTCTGCATTGACAGTCACTTAGTGGAAAAATAGAAAATCGCTTGGGGGATTATTATCTATTAGTCCTGGTACACCTAACACGCTTAAAACAATTAGCAAAACATTTGTATTATAAAGTAAAATGGAATTATTTAACAAGGATCAGGTGTAAGAACACTGATTTGTGTAATTGAGGGCCACAAAATTAACTTTTGACAGGATTCAATGGAATGTATTTTTTTTGTTGGAAGTCGGCTCTGGTTAAAAGAATTTTGCAAACAATTTAAATTTGCAGCTCTTTTTTGTAAGAATGTGCTTAAAGATGGAGCACCATAAAAAAAGTCATTTTTAAATAGCCATATTTTTATCTTAAATGTTTTAATGTTTTCTTTCATTTAAATTCAGATGTTTAATTAATTGAGTTGTAATATCATTAGATTTCTTGGAAAAAAGTTAACAATATGGTAATTGCGTATTTTAGAAAATATTTTGTTTTGTTTTTAATTGCAAAAAATGATTTTAGTATTTTTTTGATGGTTTACCTTTTGTTTTGTAATTGAATATGTGCTTATGGTGGGAAGTATCTAGCCAGGCATTATATGATTTAAAACATTGAACAATAATTAAATACTGTGCTATTTGAAATTATGATTGATAAACAATCATAAACATTTGATAGAAAATTAATTGGAGTGACAAAAATTTTGAAGAAAGCTAGGAGCAATATGATTCTTTCATTAGGACATAATCCCCAAATTGATTTTTTTTCAGTAAGCTTAGAATATGAGCAAAATTATTAGTTGTTTCCCAAAGAGTGTTTATGCAATTGCAATTAAATTCTTCTTAATATGAAGTTTTATAAACCTTGGTGCATTAATTAGGTCATTAAATAGTACATGTACTTAAATGAATATTTTGTTTACCTTCATCTTGTGAAAATCAAAGAATAGTCAGTAAATAAGTACATGAATTGAATTTTATTTAAATTTTACATTTGGTAAATAAAATTCAGGAATGCAAATTTGATAACAACTAATGACAAGATTAAGGTAGGTTACAGAATGTGGTCAGGCTAAACTTTCCTGTACAGACTATGACAATGGCATAGCACGAAGTTGTTATTTGGTATGTAAACTTGATTAGGTCACTTTCGAAAGCCACATTCTTTCATAAGAAATGAAATAATGACTTTTTAACGACGTCTTATCTTCTCTACATCATTGTAATAACCTTTTGCACAATTTTGTCTTCTCTAGAACAGATCACTTATTTTTAATCAACCTTAATTTGAAGCATATTTATATTGTAATTTGAAGAAAGGCATCATTGCCATAAAGAGGGTCATGTATTTGGAGAGAGAGAAAAGGGGGGGGGGAGCACAAGTAAGGTATTATCATTTGAGAGACTTTGTGCACACCACTTTATAAACATTCATAAAAGGTAAATTCTGAGCGTTTCATTTCTTTTCACATGTTCAAGATGTCATTTAGTCAAAGCAAGTATCATTATGTAATGTACAGATACAAGTTTGATTAAGTTATGTCCATAGGGTCATGTTAGGTGAAAAATGTAGAAGGAAGTTTAGCAGATAAGTCTTTTACCAACTAATTTAGAATTTTAAATTGGAGCTTTAATTAACTTAAGTGCTGAATGCATGAGCTTAACTATTTGAGTATTTAGAACAGTTGATTCAGCTCAACAGTTCATTAATGAACTTCTAATAAAGTCAGTCTTATAGTGTCAGTGAATGAGGGATGATGAAAAAAAAAGTTGTATTAAAAGATACTAGAACGAGGGGAAATTATGTTTTTCTAGATACCCGGTATATGAAATAAGTCAACAACTAAAATACTTAGTTTTTACTAGGAGAGTGCACATTTATAACTCCCCCCTAAAACAAGGGAAATTTTTCTCAACTGATTGGATTGTCTCTAAATACTTGTCTGCAGAGAAAAATTGTTTTGCTGAAGCAGAGGGAGAAAAAAAATTTCTCCTCAAGGCAGCAACAAATATAAGGGGTCAAGGGTTGAAAGCTTTCTGCCGAAATATCTAGACACATCACCAATCCAGAAAAGTTACATTCCTCTAGTTTATATTCCATGGAAAGATACCAACTACACAACAAGTTTTGGCTGATTAAGACATTACAAACTTTAATAGAAAGGCTGCAATCATGCTAGCTGAGGTTAAGTCTTGATTCCTATCAAAGTGGAAAACGGGGACATTTGAAAAGCATTCTTATAGTTTTTATGACATGCTGAAAATTCAATAAAATAAGGGAGAGTTTTAATTAGAGAATTTATTGGTGGTTTCCTGTATCATGAAATATTGATTATACCCGTATCTTACAATTGTCCTATATATATAGCATTTACAGTGCATAGATTTTCAATCCATTATTTAATGGGAAAAGCTTAAATCATCTTATTCCACCTAAAAATTCAAATGATGACAGTATGTCTTTTTATTAGATAACCATCTGAATTATCATTCAACATCATACTGTAATTATTTTTCAGAGAATTTCTATATCATTTTGATACTTAAGATTATATGTAGATAAATTCAGAACTTTATTTATCTTATAGTACACATGCATTCTTAAAACAATATCACGCTCATGATCAAGATTCTTTGAATGGGCAAGGGGATAATTTAACTTACCTGGTATATTTTTTTTAAGAAACCAGAGTGGAAAACTTCTTTTGTCTCCTATTTAAAATAACGTTCATATTTAAGGATGGTATTAGTCCACTTTACTTTTTAAACTGTTAAATTTTAAATAAAATATGATTAAAATATTATATATTTATGTGTGTAGGAAATTTGGTAGGAGGTTTTAAATAATTTTAGCTATTATATTAATTGTGGTGATTTTTAATTTTCTGTTTTGTAGGCATGCTTTCTATGTGGTGTGAAGAACTTGGACGACTTCTTCTGTTAAGACATCAAAAGAATCGAACCCCTGACTCTAAATCACCAGGCATGCACCCACAGCTACAGCAGAAACCAATGCCTCCTATGGGCCATGGGTGAGATTTGTATTAATTTTTTATTGGAACACTTGTAGCACTGTTTCAATTTCTTTCAAAAGTTCATTTAGTTGGTGTTTGTATTTTGAAATGGTAATAAGAATGCAAAATCAACTGGTTAAGACTATGTAGTTCACTAGTGCACTAGTACTAGTGTTATGAGTTTTAGATTTAGGACATGAAGATGGAAATATAGTGAAGGAAGGACGAAGCTAGGATTAAAAGAAGACATTTACAGAGGAGGGATGGGTTAATAGGTTAATAGAAGTACAGTATAGAGTTATCCCCTTTAGTAAAAGGTTGTGTTATTACAGTTATTCCCCAAACTTCTGTTGGGTACTTGGCTTTCAAACTAAGCTGAAAAGATGGTTATGTTTTAGGGCTGAACCTGAGTCAGTGATGCCTGTCCCTGGTTGTGCATTGTCCATCAGTTGTAAACATTTTCAGATTCTGTTCTTGAACCAATATCAGTATATAGCATTTATGGACCAAGGGGTACAATTATTTTGAATTTCACGACTTCTATGACCCTTTTACCTGACGTATTAGGACCAAAACCATTAAAATTATTAGTGTATCTTTAAAAATGTCTACTCCTGTCATCAACTGTATGTTTTTTAAAAGCTGATATTGTGAAATTATGACCCCAAGGACAAGGGTTATGGTAAGCACGGGTGCATCTTCTAAAATCATGAAATGCATGATCTTTGGTCAGGGATTCTTGTGTTAGGGTGAGGCTTTATATTGGTCATACTGGTATAAAGTGAAAATGCATTAATTCTCTAAAAATCATCTCTTCTGCATCAGGGTATTGAGCAGACAAACTAAGTGCATGGCGATGATGAGGAAGGGTGTATCTTCCAAAATTGTGAAATTCAGGCCCCATGGATGAGGGGCTGTGTTGTTTGCCATGTGTATATTGCTGTTAATATTTAAGCACTAAGTTGAATAGTGTGGCCTGTACTAATAGATATTTTGTTTCATTACATTTTCATTAAGTTGCCATTCTGTGGATTTTTACAGTGTTTTATTATACACATTATGGTATTATTAAATGAAATTTAAACATTGAAATCATTAAAATTGAAAGTTGAAAACTTCGCTTAAAACATATAAGAATTTGCTGATTACATAACAGACAAAAATTAAATTTGATAAAGTTATATTGTGAAAAAGTGATAATGTTTCTTATTGTGAATAGTTCAATGCTTTTCTGCATTGGAGGTTAAAACGTCATTAATGTTTGGACAAGAAACAATCCAACAAACATTACAAAAAATAAATATTTGAAAAATTCCATAAAATAGATAAATATACTTGAAAAATTGTGGTATTTGAATCAAGAACAACAATGATGAATAATTTGCTAAATTATGCAAAATAAAAGGCAAGGTAAAATGCATGCAATTAACAATTCAATTAAGAAAAATTAGCTCTCGAAGCCTTGTAAGAATTAACTTCAATTGGAAGATTTTTAATCCTGTTTAAACTTAAAGAAAATCAGATGTATGATCTATGGTTTATCAGGTATTGTACACAGAAAAATTACATAACTAAGTAAGACAAATGATATGCTATAATGATTTCATACTGTAATTGTGTGTAATTACTTCTAGTAGAAATCTTATTATGATGTGTTATATTCATGTGAATTTGGAATTTGTCTAAAATCAGTACAACTGAAAATAAATTTATCACAAATGAATCAAAAGAATTATAGACTAGGATAGGAATATTTAACCATTACTTAATCTATTTAAACTTTAGTGGTCTCTTATTGTTATCTTAGCCAGTACCTAGAGATTAGGTTTTACTGTTAACAGTCATTCTTTCTTTAACCACAAGAACACCTTTTATTCTGTTTGATGTTCACCAGTCCATCTGTTTGTCTGTGGGGTTACGTGTTCAGTGTCCTCTGAGAGAGATGATGACTCTTGCTCTACTTGTTGGACTCCTGATCTTCTTGGCTGAAGGCGAAGGATACTTAATAGGGATTGATTTCTCACAGAGGAAAAAGTTTACAGTAAATGCTGTAATGATCATCCAGGCTTTTGCTAAGGTGTTCATTCATTAAGTCATAAAATTATAAGATCATGTAAATCTGATTCTATGGAAGCATCAAAGTACTGGTATATTAGAAAAATTAAAGAAAGTGTAAATCTGAGTGGCTTTTTATGCCATGATGATTTTAGTTAAATATCTTCTATCAAAAGACAACAAAGTCTTGGTCCCATATATATAATTCCAGGTGAATATCTTTGAAGAGTGAGCAATCAATTGTAACATTGGTAGATTTGTCATATGATATTGGAATTTTGTCAACTACCCATATGTTGAGCACACTATTTTGTTTATGTTTTGGTAAAGGGTTGAATTTTGTATACATGAATAAATATTTAATTATGTGCACACAAAAAATTAAAAGCCATTACAAGGAGTATTAAGTCTGATTTTCAAAAAAAAAAAAGCCATGTGTTACATGAATGTCTTCATACTGGTATCAGGCAATCAATTTTTCATACGTTAACAAAAATCAATCCCCAACACTGGCTGCCTGTGTATTGATCAGAGAAAGATATGTATCCATTTGCAATAATAGGGTTAAATTACTTACAGAACTCAGGTCTATAGAGGTAGAAAGAAAAGAAAGGATTTGTTGACATTGATAACTATACAGGATAATTAAAGTGGAACTGTTTTCCTAACTAATTAATTAAATCTATCACTAGTTGCAAGAAAATATGGTTTAGATAGCATAAGTTAAATGGATCAACTGTGATAAAAATTGAAAGTTATATACAAAACATATTTAAGTAGATCTTAAAACCTCTACAATGGCATGGAAATAATGAATCATTACTCATTTGTTAGTGTAGTGATATAAATGTCTGAGGGGACGGGGACCGCTTATTGTCTTGTATTTATGTGTAGTTCATCACAGCCAGTGAGAAGACAGACCCAGAGATTTTATATCACTAATTCTCTTGCTCGACTAAATTTGCATTTTATGTTTGGAGAGGAAAAAGTCATTTACGTTTTTCTCTTTAATTTCTCTCATGTACATGTAACTGCTTCAAACCAGTGGTTTAAATGACAGCACTATAAGTAATTTTAATATATGTTAATTAACTAAATGTGTGATAGTGTTTCTCCGAAGTCTGTTATAAAACTATGTTGGTAATATGACTCCTCCACATTTAAGTTTTCTAAAACAATTATTAAAGCTAGAGTTGAGATTCCTGTTCATTCTGTTTGGTGATTCGATATTGTGATTGAATGCACTGAGCCTCACCACCTTGGAGCACAACAAGGCATGACGCAGTGCTAAAACACAATAGGAAGGAAATAGATTTGACCTCCATGCCTGGACTAATAACATATCGTTTGACTTCTCATGTAAAGGGAAATCACCTGAGAATATTTAGTCTCTCTCACTTAGTGCCTCCTAAATACTTTATTTGGGCTATGATAGCACTAATACCTACCAATAAGTTTTATAGTGGGTTTACTAGGTCATTGAAGGATAAGTCTTTAGAATTTTAACTGATATAATTTGACTTACAAATCATTATCTCGCTGGACAGTGTCTTAGATATATGCCCTGCAGGTGTTTTCTGAAGTTTGGTGTTAATGTACAGAATACCTTCGTAAACAAACTTGATTTGCCATTTAAAAGTATGTTTTACCTGGTGTGTGTCGGCTGTGGAGTAGGTCAACTAAAACTAACAGCAGTGCTGTGCACTGGTTGTTATTCCTGACATTGATTTTCCCTTCTGGTGCCTCTTGTTTCTGTAAAAACAAGGCAGATTGAGCTAGGCTGATCATGTGACCAGCTTAGGATGAACTGGGATGGCTGATAAAGGCCCTGATAGACTGACTGTGTAGTGTTATAGTTAGGACATGTACATGGGGTTGTAGAGTAATCTGGAGTGTTTACACTTGTGTGACAATGGCTGACTCGCTACACCTATAATATAGACTGGACACTCACCACTAGAGACAATGGTGCCTGAATTAAACACCCAGCTGAGACAGTGATTGTAGCACAGGATTAACTTAGCTCTGTTTGTGTTTAGTGTGTGTGTGTGTTCAGATTTTTTAAACAACATTTGACATAAGAAAAAAAAGAACTAAATTTACCAGGGGTGGTTGGAATCATTGAATAATGACTTCAGGCCCCGGTGGGGAATGGCAGCCCCAAATGGCAGCAGAACTTCAGATAGCAGTTCAGACTGAGAGGTGTGTTGTATAATGTAATTGCTATTGGATTTCTTGCACTATGTTTCACAAAAGGCAGGTAAATTATGATGATATTAGAAACACTTAGTAGGTCAAGAATCAGGATTCCTTGAGGGCTTGTTAAGCTGTCTGGTGGTGTGAACCGTAGGAATATAGGTTTACAAGGGAAATGTTCTGATCATTGTTGAAAGACAATAAGTGTAAAAAAGTTTTAGGGTTTCTGATGTAATAAATGATTTCATGGTTGAAGATTTTGTTTGTGTGATAATATTACATAAATATTTTACCTATAAGAATAATGAAGGAGATGGTAAACAATTTCTCTCATTGGATATTTTATCTTTCATAATAAACTGTGATTACATTGATCATGTTGATAATTGTGTTTGTCTTCCTGACAGTGACCCTAATGGTGGTTGGATGCCTGGAAATCAAGGCCCCCCTTCCCTTTCGGTGGTGACCACGGTGTGGGGGATGACCCAGTCTACACAGAGCGGTCCCTTCAACCACAGTACCCCCGGATCAGGGTACACCAACACTACCATGTCCTCAACCAACTACACACAGCAGCCCCAAGGATTCACGGGGAATCAGATGCAGAAACCTCCCTATAACATGGGACCCATCACTAATAGACGGGACTCTGGGGGGTACAACAGACCAGGGTAGGTGGCTGATATACATCTAACATGATAGTTTCTTAATTGTAGCATTGTAATGTAACAGACTTTTTGTAATTGTGATATTTTAATTCTGGAAAATTGAAACACCTACAATTCCTTTAGAAAGAATACACAATCCCTATCTTTTACACAATTCGTTTGTTTGTTTGTTTTTGGGTTCATTTTTTCCCACAGAAGGATAATTGTTGAAAAAGCTTACCAATGAATGCTAATATGAATGATTGTAAAGGAAATAAGCATATTGTTTTTCTTTTGTGAAGCAGAGGAAGGTGTCATATACATTAAGGTTTATGTGTTGATAATTTATATAGGTAGAGGTGAGGCATATACAAATGCAAGAAGAAAAAAATTAAGAAATTGGAATTAGATGGAAAAGTGGCATTTCTTTTGGATGGGTTACCTTATCAAGCTAAGGCTAAACAGAAAGGTTTCTCTTTTCTCAGAGAAGGGAATGGGGACAGATTAGGAGGGTGGAAGGGGGTAACTAGAAGGAGGATAATGGAATGGGAAATTTTTATTAAAAAAAAAGTTTTATTGTACTGTAGAAATTACAAATTTGTCTTTAAAAATATCAACATGATAGCTACAAATAAAAACAATTTTGGTAATAGTAGGACTTTGACCCATTTTTGGATGCAATACCTCTTCAAAAAAAAAAAGAGTCAGGAAGTATTCTCTGGATACTTTAAAATACAGTGGACCTTCAGATAGAGTCAGGATAAGTATATTTTTCTCGGAACAAAATTTTTAAATGTTATTTTGTCTTGTTTAACTGGTGACTTTCCGGACAAATTGACTGGGAAAAATAAATGAGGGTCCACTGTATAAGAGAAACAGTGTGTGACAAATGTCAAGTAGGAAAAAAGTGTGTGAATTGATCTAGACAGAAAGTTACATGTATAAATCTTGAAACCATGACAACCACATTCATAATCATATAATATATTTCAAAATTAAAGACAACAGGATGGAAGTGTTTAGTCATCAATAAATGGTGGTATTAGGATATTTATAGTCACAAATCGCTCGCAATGATGGAAGAATTCAATCAATTGCTTCGTATTTCATCATTTGTACTGTTACTATATATTAGTTGGTTTATAATGAAGGTGTAAGGACAGTTTGTGGAATTTGAAAGCTTTTGTGAAATAACCAGGATTTTTTTTTTGGTTGTAAAAGTCCCTGGAGATATCTGCATGTGTCAATAGTTTAACTTTCATAATTCTTGAAGTAGATATAAATTTCATTAAGTATTGTCAGGTTTTAAAAAAAGCAGGATCTTTTCAATTTTCTGTATGTTTATGAGGTTAAGGGAAGGGGGTGGGGACAGCCATTTGTTAGAGAGGGACAGATCTGGTTTCATTGCTAGTTAGGGAGACATGAAAAATTATGAAGATTTACATATTTTGCCTCTCGGTACATGCATTTTAGAGAACAATTGTGTTGTACAGGTACCCTCCTACTCCAAACACACCGGGCTCTAACACACCCATATCAGGACACAATGAGTACCCTGGAGGTCCAGGGATGCCACAGGGAAACCCGGCCCTATCAGCCGCTCTGGTTGCCGCAGCAGCAACAGCAACCGCGACTGCCACGGCAACTGCTAGTATGGTAGCCATGCAGGATCAACAACAGCTCAACATGCAGATGAATATGAATGGGCAGTACCCACCACAGATGCCAGTGAGACTCGTTTTCTTCTATCATAATTACACAGATATGATAAAGTTTATATGTAGACAGGAAAAGAGTCATTTGCAATGGTGACAGAAAGTTTGCAAGTATTTACTTGAGTCCTTCCTGATACCAGTGCACTAGAGCTTTGCATCAATTTTAGTATTGTGAAGCGTTATGCCAATAGGTTATTTATACTCCACAGACACTTGTATCAGTCGTGTATACAGTTGTCACTAACTGTAGGACTTACTTCCTGTTTTACCAAGTTTTTCACATCTTTGATTAAAATGTGGAAGTTAATATTCACTATGTCAATATTTAAAGCAAAAAAAAAAGCTTTGTCTACAAATTATGAACTCGTTTTCCACAATTATTACTATTAATTAGTATTCTTAATGAGTGGCAGTGTTTGCAAATGAAATATTATTTATACTTGATCAATTTGTACAATATATAAAAATTTCTTTAGGTTCAGAATCAGTTTAATCAGTATCAAGGGATGCCCCAAAGGGGAGGACCCATGAATATGGGTCATGGGACAGCACCCGGCCCAATGATGAACAAAGGCATGTACATGCGGCGTACTGCTCCCTACCACAATCCACAGATGATGAAAGCAAGGCCTGTCACTGGCGGTCAGCAGTACCCCAATGGAGCACAGGTACTGCATTGCTTGAAATTAATTTTACACAATTGTAGAACAGAGCAGTGAAATCATGTAGATTTGTGTGTGTGTGTAGATAAATGACACTGATGTGTTCTTTTCCAGTATGGCCCACAGTACCTAAACCAGCAACAGTACCCAAACAAACCTCAGTACCCCCCAGCCCAGCAGCCCCTACCCTCCCCAACCTATGGTCCTCAGCAACCAGGAATGAGGCCCAGTGCTCCACCTCACTACCCTAATGGTCAGAATCCTTACATGACAGGCCAGTACCCTCCACAAGGCAGACAGCTCCCTCCCCAGGGCCCGGGATACGGCCCCTCCCCTCAGTACAGCAATGGACAGCAGAACTTACAGGTACTTCTATGACTTTATCTAATAGGTGTAATGGGATTTGTTTATAAATTTTATTTCTGGCTTGATGACACGATCACATTCCATTGCAGTCCTCCAACATGAGCTATCCTCACTCCCCCTTGCCTGGTAACCCCACCCCACCCATCACACCAGGGGCGGTGCAGCCTCCATACCCCGGCCAGATGCCAATCAAGAAAGGTAAGACTGGAACATGACAGTGTAAATATATAATAAATGAGGAAAGTCAATGACATGAGTCGGTGGAGCTTAGTTGATGCAATTTATTGAAAGTTTGTGCTATTATTGTTTAGTCATTCCTTAAAATTTACATCAGCGAAACATCATTATTAATGTTGGGAATATGCTAGAATTAATGACTTAAAATTTGTCTATAGTTTGGATTACTGTTAAGGGTACAAATCTGTCAATTTCTAGAATGGAGATAAAGATTGCACAGTAATTTTTTGCTTCAAAGCAATTTTGTTAGAGTTTATCCGTCTCGAGACAATTTTCATTTTGATAGAAATTTAAGTAAATAACAATGGCATTTTTAACTGTGCTTAAAGCAACAGAAGTTAAAATGATTTTGACACTGAAGTATATAGGAAATATTTGCCTTGTGTGTATTTTGATAAGACTTTTTGTGACTTCAGACCCTGAGGAGTTACGCCTAACTTTCCCTGTCCGGGATGGTGTAGTGTTGCCTCCATTCCGATTGGAGCATAACCTGGCAGTAAGCAACCACGTCTTCCACCTCAGAGATTCTGTGTATCAAACCCTTATGTGGAGGTTTGTGTCTTATATACTGTTTCAATTGGTTTTAAAGTAAATAGCAAATTTAAAACAACCTGAGAATGATTAATAGATTTGAATTCTTTCAAACACTGATTTAAAGGTTAATATGCAATTAGGCAATCCTATGTAAAGCATGACTGAAAAGCATTGGTTGTCAAAATCCACGAATGCTCTCTTAAGGGAGACAACTCTTAAAAACGAAATATTTTTTCCATTTCAGATCTGACTTAGAATTACAGTTGAAGTGTTTCCATCATGAGGATCGGCAGATGAACACCAACTGGCCAGCCTCAGTGACCGTTAGTGTTAATGCCAACCCCCTAAACATAGAACGGGGAGAGAATAAGACCTCCCACAAACCACTGTACCTCAAAGATGTCTGCCAGCCCGGCAGAAATACCATTCAGATCACTGTCACAGCATGTTGTTGTGTAAGTTCACGTTATGTTTATTGTTTCTTAATATCTTATTTTTCATTTCAATTTTATTTACCTCTTAAGTAGAATTTTTAACAGGACATAATTTAAAATGTCCTGAAAACCCACATAATATTTAGCAAGAAGAAAAAGATTTTTTATTTAATTTTTTTTCCTAAAAGTTCTCTTATATATTATATATGTGTTACAATTGATTTTCATTTTTTTTCGTCCAATTTGTGTGTGCAAGTGTGCGGTACTTCAGGGCCTACTGAAGAAGCGACTATTACCTGCAGAGCATTGTATCACCAAAAGTAAGTACATCTCTAAGGCTGTATACGAGCTGAAAAAATGTTAAAAAGTCACCCTGAAACCTGTAGTAATACAATGGGAGGGCTACTTGCAGATGAAATTAATTGCAAAGATACTTTATTTCCTATACAATATTTACTCCAGACCAGTTTTAGTTTGATAGCTTTAAAAAAAAAATGGGGAAAGAACCCTCTTGATTATAACATTGTTTTGTTGTTGTTTTTTTTTCAGTCAAAAGAAATTTTACAAGTGTGACAAGCAACAACAGCATAAACAGTGAGGATGGCGTGGAGCAGACAGCTATAAAAGTATCCCTAAAGTGTCCAATCACATTCCGGCGAATTATGCTTCCTGCTCGGGGACACGAGTGTAAACACATACAGTGCTTTGATCTGGAGTCGTATCTTCAGCTGAACACAGAACGTGGCTCCTGGCGGTGCCCTGTGTGTAGGCAAGTTCTCTTGTCACTTTGGCCAAACTAGAAATTCTGTTTTAAAGTGAACTAGGTAATTGTCCTATTTTATCAGAAGAAGAATTTATATGACAGTTTTGTTTTTGATTGCAGTAAAACAGCATTACTGGAGGGGTTAGAGATTGACCAGTACATCTGGGGAATTCTCACCAACCTTCAGACAACAGAATTTGAGGAGGTCACTATTGACCCCATGGCAGCTTGGAAACCTGTGCAGCATAAAACTGCAGTCAAAGAGGAGGAAACAGGTCAGTTTCAAAATAATTAAGTTAACATAAATTGATTAATGAGCTGTAGTTCCAGGAATATGTTGAGAAAAATCTGTTGATGAAAGACAGTATGGCTCAGTTGGGGGTATTATGGTCCCATTTGCTTTTTGTGTAAAAATTCTTGAAAGATTAAGGAACTTGCATGAGAACTGGATGAATCATATGATTAATTATGTTTTAGGAGACAACTCCTGTGGTGGTCGATGGGTCAAAGCAATGTCCCCATCAAGCATGCAGCTACCGACCATGAGTACGTGGGACATGATGGGGGGTGGCCGACAAGCTGCATCACCTTTTACCATGAACTCTGGCCAAGGTATGTCAAACTGAAACTCCATAAGTGAATTGAAAGTTAGAACCGTGCTTCTTGTTAGACTAATGAAATATTTTATTTTACAGGATCCCAGTATCCCGGAATGCCAAATGAGAGCATGCCAAATGGACCAGTTAGTACGGGTTATCCCCACCCAGGTCCTCCCTCAGACTATAGTTCCCCACTCACACATATGTCAGAGAGCATAAACAATATTAGCAATGGAAATTCCATTAACAGTGGAAATTCAATGAACAATGTGCCACAAAGTGACTCCTCTTCTCAAATGACTCACAATGCAGGACAGTTTGTCCCAGTGTCGGGGGACCAGGGCATGCCCACATTAAGGCACCCTGACCAAAACAATATGAACAGTCACATGACTCCCTCCAGCCAATCATCACAAAGCATGAGTAACGGCAGCCATCAACTCGATCACCAGTCACCTCCTAGCAATCAGAATAATACATCAGGGGCAGATAACTGCAATTCAATAGAAGATATCAATTTGGACCCGTCTACTATTATGAATGATAGTCAGAGTAACAATTTAGATGTAAGTATATTCAGTTGTCATATGATTAGTTTATGCATAATTTGAAGATGATTTCTTTATGTTTGTCCATATTTCTGAGATTGAAATATAAGTTGAATTTTTAAGCATACTTAATGTTTAGATTTTAGCAGTATTTTCTACCATGTTTCCATTTTCGATGCTTTGAGAGAAAAAAAAAATTATCAAAAATGTTTATCTTCTTTTAGCTCCAGCTAGAAAATTTTGGTGATCCAATTGAACTGTTATCGTATTTGGGACCACCTGAGAGTTCTGGGAACGAATCGCCCGGGGCACAGAACACAAACACTAACAACAGCAATTCTACGTCCACAAACAATCAAACCTCAACCAGTGCCAATAGCAATAATGATGATTTGTTGGCTCTGTTTGAATAGCAAACTATTGTATGATTTTAAGTATTTCAAGAGCTGTTGTGACACGGAACAGACAGAGACTGTTGTCAGGGAAGCCACCACCTCTGTGTAATCGGCCAGTTGTCTTACAGATCTGCAGTGGGGAGGATCAAACTTCAGATTTTATTTCTCTACTTGCTTTATCATATATTTATTGATACTGAACATCAACTTGCCTGGATTTATTGTTATACTTCATTTGTATCACTCTAACTTAATGGAGGGGACAGGAAGTCCCCCACCCTAAATCTGTTCATTAAAATGCAGCCTTTTGTGGGCAGCATAACAAAAAAGGCATGTGATATCCACATCTGATTTGTTAATATATTTTGAAAGTTGTCCAATGACAGCATTCTTTGGTCAGACTTTAAGGCTCCTATAATGTAATGGGAGACCTCAGTTTTGAATAGGCAGCAAATGACATAAAGAGTTTTTCTGTAGATGATATTTGTATGTTTCTAAGAGAGTTCTATGCTATGTTTCTGTCTTTGTCTAACATCCTCAACACCTTATTATGTGCTCATTATTTTTTGCTGCTCATTTGTAATTTTATAATCTTTTTAGAAAGCAAATTTTGTTTTCATTCAGATACAGTGACTTTGATTTGAAAATTGGGGTTATAAATTTGGTTTCTTTAGGTGGAACTTCTTTAATGTACATGTGTATATTTTCCTATGTTATTTGTGTCTTCCTTATGTTAACTGCAAAGTACATCACATGCAATACAAATTACAGGTGGCTCTTAGAAAAACAGCTGATTTGTGATGCATTAGCCTTTTGTATACATAACTATGAACTTAATAGGTGTCAAAAAATCCCTTAAGTGTAACAGTTATGGACACTTTAGAAGTTTTTATTTCAAAACGAGTATGTCTGATAAAAACAGCTTATGTAACCCAGAACGCAAGTTGATATACAGTATTATTTATATGTATCTTTAGTGCAAGTTATAAATTTATGCATGAAAGGGTAACATGCAAAGATGTTGAAGCAATCAACCCTTTTTTCATGATTTAATTGGCAAATTTTGAATGTGCAATATCAGAAAGAAATTTTTTACTGTTTACCTTTATTTTGCTGTAAAGTATTTTTTTAAGGTCTTAAAAATTGGATTTAACCCTATGGAGAGACATTTTTGTTGGGTTATTTTATACAGATAGGTCACAGGAAATGTTAGCCAGAAACCTCCATGACAATGTTCTAGGTTGGAATTTTTAGGCACACTTTTGTAATCCTGGGGGATATTTCAGATCTTTTACAAGCTGTTTGTAGGATATAATTGTCTTAATTTAATTTTTTGTATAATATTTATTAATAGTTATTTAAATTTTCATTTATGAAAATGAATCATGTCCATGGCAAATATTCTTTTGTGTCCAAGTTCCGAAGTAGGATAGAAATGTACATAGATTATATATATTATAAATACAGAATATATGTTATGTTTTAATTTTTGTGTTTTGGACATTATTGGACCTGGTCATTCTGTCAGGTCGACATCTTGACAAGCGAACTGAGGCCCTTTTAAGAGGTGCAGCAAGTTGGTGTCAAAAGATAATTCTGCAATAGATAAGGAAACAAATGAATCATTGACACCTTCTTATGACAGCTCATTTGCAAAGGCTAAAGTTTCTTCAATGTAAGTCAGACTGCCAGGTCAAGAAATTAAAAAAATGTTGGTACCAAAAGAAAAAAGAAGTTACGTCTAAAATAAGTCAAACTCCAATGCCAAGGTCAAAGAATAAAAATAAAAGGTGACCAGGGGAAGGTCTTGTCAAAGGAAATGTATATGTGAAATTTATAAGCCTTGCACAAACTATTCAAAAGAAAGAAGGTAAAACTCTAAGGTCAAGGACAAAAGGTCAAAAAAATTTTATACCCAATGAAAGGTCTTGTCAGATTAAATATACTTGTGAAATATTAAAGCCCTAGCACCACCTGTTCAAAACTTGTTCAGTTTTGCAGAAAGTTTTTCTAAGTAGGTCAATTTTCGAGGTGAAGTTCAAAGGGTGGAATAAATGATATTCAAGGGAGGGTTTTGTCACAAAGAATACACCTCTGAAGTATGAAAGCCATAGCCAAGAAGTAAACTCAGAGGTCAAAGTCCAAGGATCAAAATTGTTGGTATTCAAAGGAAGGATTGGTCACAAGGAATACACTAGTAAAGTATGAAAGTCCTAGAACCAGTCATTAAAAATTGATGACCAAGGTTAAAGTTTGGTAAGAACTCGGAACGATAGTATTGTTCTTTGTATTAAACAAAGATTTTTTAATGATATGCATAAAACAAATTGCCTATAATTTTGGTAAAATTAATATTGAATTTGAAACAAAAATGTAATATGGTGCATTTTAAAATATAGCTTTTTTGTTTTCCACGGGGGGAACATATAATTATAGACAAAAAACGAAAAAAATGCTAATTTTTCACCAATTTTAAAGCTATTTACAACTAATAATTGTATTTTATTAATTTATGTATGTTTTATTTATTTGCGTAAAACATAAGAAAAGATATGAAATGCATTTTATCATATTTAAGACTATTTCAAAATATGGTGATTCTTGAAAGTTCGATTTCACTAGAAAATATCGTCTACTGGAATTAATGATAATTTACCATCTAGCGCTGGATGATATTAATGAACAGTATTCAAGCTCAAAAGTCCTTTAAAGATTACATGTAATAAATTGGATATTAATGCAGAGCAAAAGTCCTTTAGAGAATACAAATTTGGAGCAGAGCAGTCGCAGTCCTCCAAAATATCAGAGATGGGATCAGGTTCCATAGAGGAGTGACCCCCCTGTTGACCGGTCACATCTGCCTTGTCACAACTGGAAAAATCTGTTGACAATTCACTTTGTAAATAATGGCATAACAGTTGGATTAAAAACTGTCATGATCAGTGAGCATTTAACTTTTTGATAAATTGTATTTGCTGACAAAGTCATTGTATTGACCGTAGAACTTAGGAAGTGATGACTTTAAATAAGTCTTGCTATATTCTTGTTTCATCAACTTGTTTGTCAATGAACTTTTTTCAATGATTTTAAATGGACCTTGCCAACATGATGAACAACTTGGAAGGTGTACTAGATTTAAGATTTGAGAAGTAAACGTAAACTCTATCACCTAGATTAAATGAACACCAATTTAACACCTTTCTATCATGGTACCACTTCTGTCGTTGTATACTCTCCTTTGTAATTTCCCTACATGACAACTGCATGGACTAATTGTTATTTTTCTTCTAAACCTCAAACCCATCTATTCTTTGGCATTCTCTTAATATGAGAATGGACTTGCATTTGAATTTAGTTGGAAGAATAACATAAATATGTAAACATATTGCACTTGAAAGGAATGGTATCAGTTCTACTGTCAAGTGATCGTCAGAATTAAGAGTAGCCTATTTCTGGTTCTTGGTGAAACAAAATTCAAAAAATATCCATAAAACAAACAAGTTTTTTTTCATGAATATGTATCTTTTATTACATTTGTGTAAAATTCATAAAAATATTTGAGTATATACAAAAAAGATACAAAAAGCTCACAGATTCTCTCATTTTTTATATCAAAAATGGCACATCAATCGTCACATTACTTTGAGTTCTTTCATAATCTTCATCCATTCAATCACGTAAACATGAAAATTCAATATTCCATCTACATTAAGACTGATACATGAAACTTAATAGGTAAGAATGATACAAAATTGATAACATGATAGGGTAAGAATTATAATGTGATGACATGATATCTTAAGATTTATGTACATTATATTTACAAGTTTTTCCATAGAATATTGATACCTTAAAGTGACTATGATTGAATATTGCATAGAGATATATATCTAGGAAGGATTTTTTGACTAATATACTTCTGAGAGCAAGAGGAAAATTCTCATGGAGAAAATTCCATTCTGCAGAGAACTAGAAATTGATTTTGTTTATAATGCACATTCCCACCCCCCAATTTGAACATAATATTTCTTGGTCAGATTAACAATGTCTTTTTTCCATGAGTACAACTAAGATACTCTTTGATACTCTTTGGTATATCTCTTGATTAATATATAGCCAGCAGAATATTTAGTTGTAAATGCTTCATTGTTTCTACTGGCATTGCTGTTTCTAGTATCTGTTTTGTAGAAATCTTGTGTAGTCTAGCTCTAAATGTTGCATGATTCTTGTTAGACATCACACGGTGGTTACAGAAAATGTCTCATCAACAGCGGTCCAACAAGTAAAACCAGGAGGAAAATGATGGAACCTTTTGTGGAGATGGCAGAGTTACAGTCATCTCTCGTACAGCTGTATACACAGGCCCGGTATAAACGATCGTGGTCCGGGTACGACAAATCCTGGCACTGATCCCCTAAGTCCCGGGCACTGCAAAAACGATGTGTCCCAACTATTCCTTAAAAAAAATACAAGCAAATTGCTAATTAAATAACTGTATAATCCATGAATTAATATTAACCAAAGATTCATCAAATTCAGAATTTGAAATTATCTATTTTTGTTGAGCAATTTTGAGTAATACGACGGTCATTCAAAAAAAATTCATTCTTTCTTCGTTTTTAATTCTTGCATTGAACTTGTGTGATGGGTCGGTGACCTCTTACAAGTAAAGAAGTAGAAGTAGAAGAAGTAGAATGTACATTTTTGACCCATCTATTCTAATGCCTTAATCAAGTAGCAATCCTTGATTACATTTACCACTATTAGGCAACTTAAAGTATGAAAACTCTATACCTCTATAGTAAGACCATATTTCTCACCTCCCCACACTCCGGTAATCTTTATGCAGTAGCGGGCATTGTACACTGTGCACTTGGTAGAACGGATGGGATTGACACTTTGATCATGGTCAAATCGATCTTGACAGTTGGAATCTAGTGTTGAGTTGCACTGGTAACAATTTAGTGCTAAAACTGGGAGAAAAGAAAAGTTATTATTATAAGATTGTAAATATGACTTTCTGAGAAAACTTTGGACCAAATCAATGGATCATTCAGGGTTCAGCACTACTACACGAAATCTGGTAGCTGCAGACCTGTAGCTCTCCAGAATGTGTCTGTTCGTCCATCGCCATTTTTCAGACCAGAGAGCTACAGATTTACAGCTAAAACTTTGAGGATTTTTGTAGCAAAATGCCATTCCGCGTAGGAACAGGTATTAAAGCGAATGGAATGTAAAATTGGTATGTTCTAATCTGTACACTGAACACTGTACATACATACATCATACACAAGAAATCAAAAATAAATTTTTTTCCTACAGTAGTTATATTAATGAAATGGATCTATATGTATGATATTTAAGTACTACTTATATAGGTTATACGTTTAGATCAACACCAGATCAAAACCACGGTGGCACTAGGAGTATAAGTATGTTTTATAGGACACCTTAACTAGTTACCTGACGAGAAAGAACAGAGGATGAGCGCCGTTTGCAGGAGGCTTGTTCCAGGTAACATCTTTACAGCTTATTAAATGAAAATCTTAATTTGTTGTAGTTGTTCCGTTCAGATTGTTGTTTTGAATCACATCATACAAAATGTCTTCCGGTTTTCACCTGTGTGAAAGCGACACCTGTAAATACCTGTCGGCATGAATCATTCAGTAACGATAACTCCCTAAGATGGACATTATCATGCGCACATTTGTACTGAAAGATAAATAACATTTTGTGTACCTGATGTCAATTAACAAATAAATAACTAATTAAGTAACTATATAAATACATATTTGAATGGTTCTAACAGGAAAAGAATAGATATCGATAATGTGACTGGTATTGTTTTTTGTTAGGTACCTAATGTACCTTTTATTTTTATTGTTTATTATGTAAAACTAATTTATTGTAAAACAAGTTATCAATTTAAAATCAATAACGATTAAAAACGAGTCTTTAATTTCAAATCATTAATTTCACAGCTTTATGTTGTTTTCAAAGAAGTTGGCGGGGTAAACTTCTATACAATCAGTTGACGGTAATGTCCCCTGCTTTCACTGAAAAGGGGATATTAATTTGGGACCGTCTGTCCGTCTGTCACAGATGAAAATGAACCATCGGATATTTTGACAATTATTTTTTATATTCTCAATGAATTCTACGTATCTGTTATTAATTTAATGAGTCGTCATAATTGCTTCAATCAGTCAGATTTATCGATTTTGAAATGTTTATAATTATCTTACTTACCCATGAGTGATATGACCAGATGAACTGTGCTTTGCGTGACTTATTTATTGTTTATTACAATGATCATAATCTTTAACTCTACTTGTAAATCATATAACTCAGGTCATATGTTACTCAAGTTCTTTATTGACTTTGAGCTGTATAGCTCATCAGTACAAACAAATACAAACATGACTGTGCAGGTTTACAGGAGAATATGATAATTATGTACATATGATACATATATGTATGACATAAATAATATGACATAAATAATTAATTTAACATTTCTTTTCTACTTTTTAGACTAAAGTAAATAAATTTACCTAAGTTGCATAGTTCTGTTACATTTTCGACATTAAAAAGTTGCAACAATTTAATCATATGTTACTCAGAATCATCATTTATTAATCTTGTCTATAAATACAGTTTTTTGTTAACATTCGGAGAGTTGGAATCGGGACGCGCTTGTCCTTGATACTGTCCGACCCGACGAGAAAATTTAATAAAGGTCTGCAAATCGTGAGGCGGCTTTATTTTCATTTACCTATAGTCCACCCTAGTGGCTTTCCAACAAGCACACGCATCTAAAGCGAATGTGTGATACGCCCGTCCGTATTTCTGTCTGTCTGTAACGCTTTCGTTCTATTAGTTGCAGAACTGTTTCTCTCCGAAAAATATATTGACAGACTGGAGAGCTATAGTGCCACTCATTGGAAAAAAAATGTACATTTTTTGCGCACAAAAAGTGCGCTGTCTCTTTATTTATTTCTCCAAGTTTTAAACTGTTGTCTCAAAACATTACTAATCGTATGTTCGTGGTCCGTGTAACACTTAACAATTCAAATTTCTAAAATGGTTTCGATTTTTAGAATGTTAACATACTAGTTCAACTTTCTAAATTTCAAAACTCAAACTTATTTGGTATATTGAAATTTGATATTTTAGTTCAAAAATCTAAAATTTTCAAATTTCCAAACAGGTTTTAGAATTATAATATTTTAGATTTTTACCTTAAAAATCAAAATTCAAATTTCCAAAAACGATTTTTGTTATTTAAAGCTTTCAGTTTTTAGTCTACCGTTTGTTCAGAAAGTTTACATTTAACAATCTATAGTTCCTGGTGCGTAGCCAGGCGTACGTCCACATCATTTTTCAACAAAAAGAAAAGAAAGAAAAAAAAAGAAAGAGAGAGAGAGAGGAGAGCGAGACAGGTAAGTATTCTCATCATTTTGCATAATATTAGAAAATAATTTTAAAAAAGAACTTAGAAGCAATTCAGAATTAACGAAAAAAAAAATAAATAAATAAAAAGAAAATCACCAGAATCACTTTTAGGGGAAAATACGAGAGTCTACACCTCTCTGACATCAAAAGATTTTCCCGGATTTTGGTTTACTATCGAATATTGCTGAGAGTTTTTCCAAGTGTAATTACATTCTAAAGAGTTTCTCTATTGTAGATTTCACACTATGAAACCCCAGTCGACTCTCTTAAAACAAACGATAATTTTATTTAATGCCAAAAATTTCATTTTCTATTACTGGAAACTAACTTCCGACCGTAATGCTTAACTTCTGTAACGATATCCCTCCCCTTCCCGAGGAGTGAGGAGAGATAGTGAGATTGAGGAGAGAGAGATAGTGAGGTTGAAGCTGCAGAACTGTAGCTCTCTGCTTGAGCAAATTCGGAATGATAAAGCAGAGAGCTACAGATCCAAGTTGTAAAAACCTTCCATTTACGCCGACGATTTTTTGTCGCTACTTCAGGTATTTATTTCGTGTAGTTTAAGCTTTCTCTGGCTTTTAGAATGGTATCTTATAATAATTCATATATCTAACTCTTATATTTGATACTTTGTTTACCTTTGAACGATCCGAAACAGTCCTGTATATAGTTTTGTAATGTAATTCAATTTCGACGTCCGTAACCACAAACAGCCATTTGTTAGCGTTGAGAGATAAGTAATTGATCAGGAATTAAAGTTGAGAATGTAAGATTAATTATTTTATACCTTTTAAAGTAAATTCAGAGTATAAAATACACGAAAAAATACCCATAGTGAGCTACAAAAAATCTTCGGCGTAAACATAGGCGCTTGGGGTATGGACCCCCCCCCTTTTTTCCATTTTTTTTTCTTTTTAAATCTGGGGTTGAGTCACCTTTTTCCTATTTTTCGATTCTAATATGCACTATATGTTATTAATAATGTAACTCTTTTGTCTCTACAGGCTGTTTTTAAATATGTCGTTTTCGACTGATACATATAAAAGGAAAAGGGGGGTCCATACCCCAAGCACCTATGGGCGTAAATCGAATTTAAGGTTTTTACAACGCTTATATCTGTAGCTCTCTGCTCTATCTGTCCGAATTTTCTCAAGCAGAGAGCTACAATTCTGCAGCTAGGAGAGAGGTAGTATGTGTGAGGAGGTAGAGAGAGTGTGAGGAGAGAGAGATTGAGAGTGTGAGGAGAGAGAGTGTGAAGAGTGTGAGGAGAGAGAGTGTCAGACTGAGGAAAGAGAGTGTATGAGAGTGAGGAAAGATAGTAAGGAGTGTGAGAAGAGAGAATGTGTGTGAGGAGAGAAAATGAGGAGAGAGAGAGTGTGTGTGGGGAGAGAGTTTAAGGAGAGAGAGTGTGTGTTTTGGGAGAGAGTGTATGCTTAAAAATTTGTTGAATGTAGAAGATCGGGTAAGACAACTCAGATTAAACCATGTTTATAATATATACCATGGCAATGCACCATCTTACTTATCAGAAAATTTTACTCTAAGATCAGCTGTGTCTTCACGCAACACCAGGGCATCCACTAATGAAGATTTTTTTATACCTCATGTGAAAACATGTCAAACAGACACTTTTTATTATAATGGCATAAAGGACTGGAATTTTTTACCAGCCTCTATTAAGTGTACAAAAGGAAAGAATACTTTTAAAAAACAAGTAAAGAGTTTTATCTTACAAAAAGGTATTTTAGAACATGAAAGTGATATGTTTCAATACTAGTTTATAAAATATATTTTATATTTTATTGATAATGCCAATGTTGTCATACTTAAACCTAATTTAGATGTGTATGCTAAAATTATTGTGCCAAAAGTATCATAGTGCTGTAATGATAGAATATTTATTACAATGTATTGTTATTTATTTTTTAAAGTTATTTAAGATAGGACCCCATTGGAAATAAGCTCTCGAGCTTTAATGAGTTATCCTGGTATCTATCTAGTCATGTTGAATAATTTATTTAAAACATCTTGATTACCAACTTCCTTCTTTTATAAGATATGTATAATTATGTGTATTTGTTTTATGTATGATGACATGATACCAAATAAATACTACTACTACTACTACTAGGAGAGGAAAGAGTGAGGATAAAGAGAGTGGACAGAGAGAATGTGTAGTTGAGTGGAGAGAGTTGGGGAGGAGGGAGAGAAAGATGGGGGACGATAGGAGATAGAGAAAGAGGAGTGGAGAGAGAGGAGAGAGTAGTGAGAGAATGGTAAAACAAAACAGATATGCACTGATCAAAATCGGGACAGGGGTGGGGGTGGGGTTGAAGCGGAGATCCAATCACAGAAACACCACTAGGCTATACACACAATTAAGTAAAGCCTGGAACTGTGTGCTATTTTCTAATATTATACTTTCATGTAAATTACTTGAATCTGATTCGTCGAGAAACATTTGATAAAAAAACAATACTACCTGCTGAATAATGAAGCCACGCCCTCCTGCGTAGCAACAGTCAACATTGCTTGACGACGGGTGGTATTCCAAAAAATAGCGACTGCGCGGAATTTATCCGCGCACGGTTCACTGTAATATGTATTTGTATAAAACATTCAGTATAATATAATAGATATTGCATGCAGTTGAGTGTAACATTGAAAATTTTCACCCCTCGAAAACCACTGTCAACCTCGGCTGCGCCTCGGTTGACAATCGTTTTCTTGGGGTGAAAATTTTCAATGTTACACTCAACTACATGCAATATTTATATAATGTCTATTTAAACTGTTATTCCAAAACAAGTTTTAATTTTCGTGTACTTTGAATTATACATCGAGCGATATTTTTGTCCCCGCTGAAAGTGAATATTAATTTCGGTGCGTCTATCCGTCCGTCTGTAGTTCTGTCTGTGCGTAACAATGACTCTCTGTGGTCTTAGGTCGCTATTGGTTTAAAGTTAAAAGGTCAAAGGGAAAGGTCAGAAATAAAAAAAAAATCAAAGTTTTGCTTTCGCATTTTATACCACAACCCCCTATGGCTTAAAGGAGACCCCTATCAAATTTTGAGGTCAAAAGGTAAGGTCGTAAATTCATGAATTATATTGTGTGTGTGTGTGTGTGTGTGTGAGAGTGTGTGTGTGTGTGTGTGTGTGAGTGTGTGTGTGTGTGTGTGTGCGTG